TACTGTGGCAAAATGCCCTCTTCACACGGGGTCCTCGTTAAATACATTGGTATTGAAGGGTCACTTCAATTCGTAAGGTGGGAGAGAAACATGAGGAAATGAGAAACAAAAAGCACACCACCATAAGCCTTACTGTGAAAAATGATTCACAAGCAATTCTCATGTGGTGTTAAGTCCCTAATAACCAGTCATTTCCTACTGGTTAAGCTAAAGCTGGTCATAGAATAAGAGAGTCCTGCAACAGCTGTCTCCTCTGCGTGTTCCTGCAGTGGATTCTTGTGCCCTCCTGTACAAAAGTGCCTATTAGAAATCAGGTAAGATTTCTTTTTAGTGTGACTTTGAAAGAAAAATGAGTTGTTATACTTGACTTTGTATATTCTGCAGTATTTAGCCTCAACATTTACCTTGGCGTAAATCAGAGCTATGATAATGGAGAGAAGCTGGTGAATAGAAACTCATGAATATTAGTGCATCAAAATAATAAACACAAACTAGAACAGAGAGATCCTTTCCCATTTCTCGCCTCTGAGCACAAAACTAACATTACAGATCAAGGAAATAAATGAGATACACCAAAAAAAAAGACAACCACTAAGGGGTTGCATACTCAGATGTGGACTTTTCTATTGTCAGGGCAGAAGAGGATCAACGACACGAGGCTTCGAAGGTGCAGAGGATCTGCAGCCGCTTGTTCAAAGAGTCCGAAAGACCTTGCAGGAAACCCTGCAGGGTAGCCAGTCTGCCTGAGGTTCACGGTGTGCACCAAGGGCAGACCCTTCCCAGTGTGCGTATTTAATACTCCATGTGTGCACAAAGCGCAGGAAAGAGGATGAACTAGTACAGAGCGCATAAAATACAGTTTGTTTATTGGTTAGGCAAACACAGAGAAAGTTAATTGGTTAGAAAATCCTTGAGAAGCAAAGATCTGGAATAATGCAAGCACAATGTGGTTAAAGAAAAAAAAATGGAGCAGTATGAAAATATTTAGAGGATGGAAGAACATACCAGAATTACACTGTAGGGCACTGTCAACATGTTTCTGAGTACAATATTAGACTCTGTCTTCATTTCCTGGATATGTTCTATATCTGGTCTGTCGAGACCCGGCTGCTAATTACCGGGTTTAGGATTTTCACTTCCCAGTGCGGAGAAGTCAGTGAAACTGCCACCACATTTAGGATGCAAGGCCATACTGATAATTTTTGCTTTACAGTAAAGACCTGCATTTCAATGGGGTTGTAGCTGCTCAGCTCCTGTAATAGTCAGACTTACTTGTACCTGACATTTCTAATACATATTAAAGTGAATCAGGAGTTCTTGCACAGGGTACATTACTGGAATTCCTCTGGGGCAATGTTAGCATGTCATGCGCCACAGTTTATTTTCCTGAGAAAAGTCTTTAGTGAGAGATGCAGTATTTATTAGTGCTGCCTCTTAGGGCTGATTTCTAAGAGATGGAAATTAGCCTCACCTCAGCCGCGGCTACAGTATTTTGTAGACATCATACTGTACCCTTGAGAAAGCAACCACCAAATCTATCTAATGCTTATGAGTATGAATATGTATATGCAATTTTGCAGAATAGTGGTAAAGGTAACAATTAACTAGTTTTACACTGTTGTGCAAACAGAGTAGGTACCTAATGACCTACAAGTCTGTGCGCTTCCACTGTGACCGTGACAGGTGCTCAGCCAGTAAATGTAAGCTCAGTCACCCCAGCTTTTGCAGTCATGTTTTTAGAATTCATTTGTTTTTACTTTTATGCCGTTTTTCTCCACTTCTCTGGCATTTTCCCCTACTTCTTAATTCTGCCTGGTTAAGCACATCCCTAGCAGGCAATATCGGAAAGCAACTTCCCGCAGCCTTGTAGTGACCAGAAGATCTCACTATAGCAGGTTATATTGGTTTTGCTGGTACAACATCACTGGATTTCCATGTAAATGAAATGTTATTGTTCTATCAGCTATGCATTTGGCACTAAATAAATAAATAAATAAATAGTAAAAGGCATTACGTAATCAAGCCACTTGTAAGTATTAAGATCTTGTGTTTATGCTGTTTTCATTTGAAAGAACATCACACCTGAAAACTCCTCATGCTCAGATGTGTCCTGCTTGCCAATTCCATAGACATAACTGGAATGTAACTTCATGTTAGGTTTGAAGGCAAGCCTAGCAGTTACTAACAATCTCAGAGAGAATACTCAGAATAAAGTGCCTAAATTTGTCATGAATTGCATTATTTTCAATGACCTTAGTGGAGGGCACAGAAACACCATATTGTCACGTTATTGATTCCAGTCCTGTCTAGTTTTACATGAACTCCACCTCTAAAACATGGAACAAGATACTGTGATTGCAAAAAGCACTGCAAAATTATATCAGATATTTTTCATCGGGATATCTCCTTTGAGCGTGATACTCTTGCTACACTGCTACAAGAGCTGCCGTGTTCTGGGAATCACAGTGCTTCTCATTTACTCAGGCTACGGATCTGGACTTAGATGTTTCATATGTGTCATGCGACAGCGGGATGAAATGGTGTCATTATTTGCATAATCCTAAACCTGCAGTACTTGGTAACACTTCTGCAATGAGGTTCCTTAACTGAAAGATGCATTTAGTAGGTGACCTAGAACTTGGAGGAAAGAGAGGAGAAATTATTATATCTGTGAGTGTTATCCCCCTTTCCCAAGAGAGGATTTTTTTTTCTATCAAAATACTTCAATTCTTTTGTGGAGGTTTGAAATATCAGCATGTTTTCAAAGCATCAACCAAAATTCAAAGGAAATGTTATGGTTAGCCAAGCCTCCTTGGACTGCAGAGTAGATTAATAGATACTGATTAATAGAGCATTTTAACATTAGGGTGATTTTTTTCCCTAGCTTGAAGTGAAAAATAAGATTGAGATGACATGGAATGGGGGCAAAACAAGTGTGACAGGGTTGTATGGATTATGGTCATGCGTCTAGTGAGGTCCATGCTCTAGTTTCAGTAATTTGACACGAGCTTATTCTGTTGTCAGTACAGTCCCCATCCAACCATGCTCTCCAGTTAGTGACTGCTGCTGGTCCTGTTCCTGCCACACGTATCCAAAGGGTAAGTTACGGTACATCAGCACTGCACTGCTGAGGCGCTACCCTATTTATCTGCTCCTACTGAATGGAAACATAAGTGGCAGGCAAGCACAGTGATTGATAGTCCAACTGCTTTAAAAGGGGAACAAAAAAGGCCAGTGAGATCCCAAAGCTACAGGACTTTCTGTCCCACAGCTGCCAAGGGCCGCAGGAGGCGCCCGCGCGCCGGGGCCGCCGCGTGCC